ATTAAGGATGTTCTGGATGGGTTAATTAGTGTGGTGACTATTATTAAGCAAACTGCTTGTTAGTATATGTCTATTTGATCTTGGTATTGATGTGAAGTAATTGACCATAGAGCTACATTTAGAAAAGCTGGAATAAAGTTTTTTGATTTCTATTATGGCAATAAATTGTTTATATAAAACATGTCTATGAAAATATGGGTTTCATGTCACACACAGAGAATCAGAGTAGACTGTGTGGGATGGTAGTTGAGGATCGTTTTGTTTTGTTTTGTTTTTTAGAAATAGTAATACATTTGTCCAGCTTGCTTCAAGATCAGCTCTGCTGAAACAAAGTAGTAAAAAATTATTACTGCAGAATATATGAAAACTGAAGTCATTTTAGCTTCCCTCACCTAAAGGACGTATTTCCTTTTAGATTTAGCTAATTGCCTAAATACTTCTTTGGGTAACAATCACTCTATATAAAAGACTATTAGAGAAAAATATGAGAAGATATTGTAAACAAGGAAAGCATAGCACGTAACCACCTTCTTTCAAGTACTGGATTATCATCTATATTATTTATTGGTATTTTGTCCAGTTCTATTATTAAGTTTCCCTAGCTATAGCATTTCCATAGGGAATTTATTCCATGAGCTAATAAATTACACCGTCAGGGAGTTTTTCTGGAAATTCAGCTTAAATTTTCCCATTCTTAATTTCATCGCATTACTCCTAGTTATACCCCCTTGTACCTGGCTAAATAATTATTCTCTTTCCTTGGAGATTCCTATTATGTACCCCTCTAGTTGTCACTTAACCAGGCTATTCATATTTAGCTCCTTTAATCTGTCCTCATAAATCAATTCTTCCATTGCCTTAATCATTATTATTGCTCTTCTTAGAACTCTCTAATTTTCAAACATATATAGTTATCAGGTACCTCAGATGAAATCAGCATTTGCACAGTATTCTGCTCCCACAGACTTGGTCTCTCCCTGTCCTGTACATCACGTTCCATAACCAAGCAGCATCAGTTAGTTGGCTGGTCCAATCAGCCCAGACTCATCTTGTCAAACTCCAGGAAATCTACATAGCCTTTTCCACATGTCCTACTGCTTTCAGGTTTATTTTATTTTGTCAATTTCATAATATTAATAAGCTGAGTTTGGGGTTTCTGTCCATATTGATATTCTGCATCTTCCCATGTCCTTATTCACCACCACCTATCTAGTCAGTCATCCGCAACCTGGGTTAAGGTGGGATTCTGTTCATCCGTGAGAACATTTAGGAAATGTATTGCAAAAAAGCAGGCCTAGCACCTTGTCCACAGCTAGATTCCTTGTCAGTGACCAGTTCCCGTTGCTTACAAACCTTTAGCCAATCTCCCATCTCTTTTAATTTGCAATTTTGCTCACATGCTGGCCAATATAAAGGGATTTTATGAGCAAGATGGGTCATGATACTGTTTTCTAAAATGAAGATATGTTGTTTCAATGCCCATTGATTTGTGTGTGTGTGTGTGTGTGTGTGTGTGTGTGTGTGTGTGAATCCTTCGTGCACCAAGTTTGTAATTCTGTTAAAATCCTTTTTAAGCTTGCCTGGCGTTCTTTATCTGACATAAACAAATAGGTTACTTTGCTTGCGCTATTGTTGATTTCCACATATGTACAGATGTTCCTTCTCTTACCATTTGTTCCATTTGTTTAGGAGAAGTTGAGGATATTGTCATAGTCATGTTTTTTCTTTTAGTGGTGATCGATGGGAACTTTCCTATTGATTTTTAGTTCCTTAGAATCTCCTCAATATTTTGAATTTATTTCAGGAAGAAAGTTGGTTACCTCCCTTCATGATTTTGGACCTGTGAGATCTGAAACTCTAATCTGTATATGCCCAAGTTTCTTTCCATTTTTTAAAAAATAAACTCTCTAATTTTTTATTAGAGCAGTTCTAATAAGACTGAGGTTGTGACCACTGAGTTTTTAAAGGTCTGTAGATGAGAAGAAACATTGTTAGTACAGCATTCATTATAATTCAATAAATTTCCTTAACCTAATAATCTAAAGAGAGATATTAAATTCAATGTTCGTTTTTTAAATTGAAGTATAATGGATTTACAATGCTGTGTTAGTTTCAGGTGTACAGCAAAGTGACTCAGTTTTTTTTAGTATTTCATATATATATATTCTTTTTCAGATCCTTTTCCCTTCTTTTTCCATTTTAAATCAAGAATTAATGTATTACTTTATAAGGGCGTACCAAGGAGCTTAGCCCCATTCTTTGTGTTTTATCTGTCCATATGCAATATCTACTTCATCCACTTATGACAGGGCACGGGTGTGGGGGGAGGTGGCTTATATATTCAGGTGATTTTTCTCAAAAGGCCTCACGAAACAAGCACAGAGCCCCCCACATCACGCCTTTTGCTTCTAGAATGTACATAGCATACTACAGCCAGACTGGATTTCCAGTTCGCAGCAGAACCCACACTGTGGCTTAGCCTTGTTCACCTGCCCGTTGGTTCGGAACTAGCGATCGCCCATCCCCCTCTCCACGGCGACCTTCTGACTCAGGTCACTTCCTGAGCACCATCTCTTCTCACCTCGCTTGAAATAGATGGCCTCGTCCAAGGCTTTGGGGACGCACTGGATTCCGCACCTGCCACCTGAAACGGTTCTTTTCAATTCCGTCTCTCCCTTCTTCTTCCCTCTCAGCTTTGTAAGGAAGCACGGTGTGTGTTCTCTTGAATAAGGCCCTACTTGCCCTGCAGCAAACATCCTGCCATTATCACACCTTATGATGTTTTTCTACTTCCATTTTGTTGGGGTTTTTTTTTTGCGGTACGCGGGCCTCTCACTGTTGTGGCCTCTCCCGTTGCGGAGCACAGGCTCCAGACGCGCAGGCTCAGCGGCCATGGCTCACGGGCCCAGCCGCTCCACGGCATGTGGGATCCTCCCGGACTGGGGCACGAACCCGTGTCCCCTGCATCGGCAGGCGGACTCTCAACCACTGCGCCACCAGGGAAGCCCCTCTACTTCCATTTTCTAAGACTTTTCTGTTTCCTCAGGATCCTGCTCCCTTCCCTAGCAAGTATCCCCAAGCGAGCACCCCTGTGGACATGCACCCCATTAAAGAAAACTTGACCTTGCCTTCTCCTTTCTTCTCTTTGTCCCCCTCTCTCCCTAACCAGTGTCTGGTTTCTCTCTGCCCTCACCCCACACGAACCGCCCTGGCACTAGCCAGTGATCTACGGTATAATGAGGCCAAAATCGCCCTGTCGTTTCTGCTGCTGTAACACCTCTGCAGTGTTTCACACTCTTTTTTTTTTTTTTTTTTTTAACAGTTTTAAGAGCTCTTGGTTCTTTTTCCTACCCGTGCTTTAGGAGCTCTTAATTTACCTCAATAGTGTGATATTACTCTCAGATTCCCTCTCAGCTCTTCCAAATGTTCCTCATTGCTTTCCTTGGTTCTGTGGTTCTTCTTCCTCACCTACCTCTTAAATGCATGTACTCTCCATTTCTTCACATACTCCACAATCCAGGTAAGGGGCCGAGTCTCTGCATGGGGCTCAGGGCCTCTGAGAACACCCTTGTTGTCCGGCCCCAGACTGCCTCTCTATACCTCAGATCCTGGGACTCAGACTCTTTGCTGTGCATCTTATTCCCTGAAGAGTTCATGCTCTTTCATACCCTTTTCCTTTGATCTCACTGTTCCCTCCATTCAAAACTTCCCCCTCTCTGCCTTTCAGAATCAGTCAACTAAAACCCTCTTTTAGCCTTTACTTATCCCCAAGTCAGAATTAATCTCTAGTTCTCAGTTTTAAAAGTTAGAATGTCCATTCTTGATATACTGTGTTCCGCCACAGGTTCCTTTGTTGTTCTCAAGTCTGTCTCCCACTCTGTCTACTGGTTTGCTCCCTAGTACTTGGTGAATTCCTTGGTTGCATTTTATGTGTTTGCTTCTATCGATAAGTAGCAGATATCGAACTCTATGACAAAGCATTATGGGAAGAAAGGGGTGAGATGGTAATGAAAAAAATATAAAAAGATACTTCAAGAAATATTAGCAAGGGACCAAGCTATGTGATCCTTATAAAACCTTAGACCATTTGGGAGCCAATTAAGAAGATGAAGTCCAACAGATGTGGTTTTGGCTTAGCTGCTGACCTAATAGTTGGGCTTCCCTGGTGGCACGGTGGTTAAGAATCTGCCTACCAATGCAAGGGACACGGGTTCAAGCCCTGGCCCGGGAAGATCCCACATGCCGTGGAGCAACTAAGCCCGTGTGCCACAACTACTGAGCCTGCACTCTAGAGCCCACAAGCCACAACTTCTGAGCCCATGTGCCACAACTACTGAAGCCCGTGTGCCTAGAGCCTGTGCTCTGCAACAAGAGAAGCCACGACAATGAGAAGCCTGCACACCACAACGAAGAGTAGCCCCCGCTCGCTGCAACTAGAGAAAGCCCATGCACAGCAACGAAGACCCAACACAGCCAAAAATAAAAATAAATAAATTTATTTTCTTTAAAAAAGGAAATATTAGCAAAGTCAACTTAATAAAAATGCGTACAAGTGCCCAGAAATACAGAACAGTCATGTGAGCAGAAATACCCAGTGTTAATTCAGGAGGTTTCAAGCATTTTTGTAGGTTAATGAGCAAAAGTATGTTTTGAAAATAAACACTGGGCCATGTCATGACTGGAAAACATAGAACTCCAGAAAGACAAGTAAAGAAAACGCTAAACCATCGCTCTACCCTGATTTTTTACGGTATGTGCAGTGCAGATTTTTATAGCCACAGAAACTCTTTGGAAACCAAAGACAATCTGGTCTAATTTCAAACTTTTGAACTTTCTCTTGGTGACTACGGCTTTTTGTGCTCTTCCTAGAATTTTTGTTGTATCTTTATTTTTTTTTTCTCAGTTTTTATACATCATCATCATGTGCTTACAGAAAGGTAAAGAGCACATTTTAAATAGTATTTTCACTAAACGTATACTGCATTTTCTTTTTGTAACAGATTCATGCCCAAGCACAAAGCAGCGCATTTACAGAAGATACTCAGCCTTAAAGGAAATGGCGGTGTTGCTCCATCCATGGCCCTTCCTTTCCAACAGGAGCAGAGAGGTTCTGATAATTTATTGAAGAATTTTGATTCAGAGTCTGGATCCTGTGATGCTGCACAACAAGAAAACCTGGGTGGCTCAGTAAGGCAGGAGTCATACTTGAAAACATTCAGCTCATCAGATAATTCAAGCACTCATCATGGGGAACATAAACAAAATCCGTGTAACATTTTGGCTGGAGCTGATGATCAACAAAGACCATTGCATATTGTCTGGCCTCACAGGTG